CCATCCCTTTGCTATAGGGTAGATAAAGCTTATTTCCAAGTAGCCATTCATACATATTGAATAAATTGCAGCTGGTTTAAATCTTCCCTTCACCAAGTGGCTATAACAATTCTCTCCCCCCCACCCCAAAAATACTGTTTGAGGGTATCTGAGGGAACAAATGCAAATACAGTAAATGCTATTGCAAAGCTTTCATCCTCCATATTAGCACCAAACAAAATAGCTTTTCCCCAGTGCAAGGTATTTCCTTCTTCAATGTCTGCAACAGGATTTTGCTGTTTTTACCCGAGAAAGAGCCCACAGAGCATCTTTCTTTTTTGGGAGGGGGGGAAAAATGGACAAGGCTGCAGGAAATGAAAAAAAAACCAACCACCACAGTTCCCTTAACGGGACGAGGAACCTCCCGCCCTTGAGAGTCCTGTCCCATCTCCACTGGGTTTACGCGAGGGGAAAGGCTCGGCGATAAAAGGGGAGAAATGGAGAGTGAGGGAGACAGACAAACAGAGATCGAGGTGCTCGTTTCACGCTATCTCGTTTCCAGAGCGAGTGACAGGAGAGGCTAGCCAATCAACAGGCTGCTTTTGCGACGGGCGAGGCTCGGGAGCCAACGAGGGCACGCGTAGGCAAAAGGAGGCAGGCCAAGAGAGACGCCGCAGGTTTAGAGGCACCTCCCTCTGGTGGGCCGTGGGCCCGCACTCGCGACCGTCTCCCCGGACTCGTAGGCTTGCCTCGGTCGCCCATCTTCTCCGCGGCTTTCCCTTCCGGAGCCCAAGAGGCCCAGCCGCACGCCAAGGGGCGGCGGATCGCGCTTAACGGCTTGGCCTTACCTGACGGGTCTCCTGACAGTGTGATCTAGCAGCAATGCCTCCTAGGGCTCAGCTTCACATTCAAACCTCGATGAGGCGGCGCGGCGGCGGCGGCGGCGACGTGGTGACGCCACCACGCAAGAGGCGGCTCCAGCTTTCCCCCCGCCCTCGCGTCGCTGCCAATCCACAAGCGACTCTTCCAAACCGGCAGCCAATCACGGGCGGGCTAGTTCTGAATCCAGATGACCAAGAGCCCTTCAGTGCAGGGACGTCCCAGAAGGTCTTTGCGGGGTGACGAAATCTGAGGGGGAATCTTTCGGGGTCCTCAGAGAGACAGGAAACGGGCTTTCCTCCCCCGCCGGACGAGTTTTTAGAGTCCTGTGATCGTTGTGGGGTGGGTTATACGCCGGTCCTTAAATTGGCAACCACGCTTTAGCCTGACTTTTGGGAACTCAGCCCTGTTGGCTGGCTTACGGCTTGTTAGACCGCGGGGAACGATGGATGAGCAGTGCACGCTAACACAGCCTGGTGTAAAAAGTCTTCCCCCCCCCTCCCTAGAAATACATATAGTCCTCGACTTAGAACAGTTAAGCTAGTGACCGTTCAAAGTTACAGCATCCCTGAAAAAAGGGATTGATGACCATTTTTTTACACTCACACCATTGCAGCATCGCCAAAGTCAAACAATTGGCGACTGACTCACATTTACGAAAATTGCAGTATCATGGGATCACCTTTTGTGACTTCCTGACAGGCAAAATCAATAGGCAAGCCAGATTCACTTAACAACTGCGAGACTAACTTAACAACTGCAATGATTAACTGAACAGTGTCAAGAAAAGTTGTAAAATGAGGCAAAGTTCCTCATAAACGTTTCAGCAACATAAATTTTAGGCTCAATTGTGGTTGTAAGTCCAGGACTACCTGTACTTACCATACTATTTTCCTTCACATGGGTTGTTAATGGAAAATGGAAAAAAAAAACCACAGTCTTACAAAGTGTCTTAATAAAGGGACCCTTAGGGGAAGGGTGTAATCGAGGAAAGCTCATTTAACTTTATACCATTTCAAAAGGAATATACTCATCTAAAATTGGTCGCTTTTTTGGTTTCTAAGAATCACTGATTCATAACATCAGTCTTATCAAGATTCAGATTTGGTGGCTTTCATCCAGCCCAGAACTGCCTGCAAATAACTGTAAAATAATCTGGTAGCCGCATTTTGTACTGGCTTTTGGGTCTTTTCCAAAGACTGCCCCATAATGCATGTTGTTGTATAGTCCAAGGCAGCAGTCACCAACTGGTGATCCTGGACCACTGGTGGTCTGTGAGAATATTTTGGTGGTCCGCAGAAAAATCTTTGCATTTTTTATTGTTGGATTGTTTATTGTTTTTATTGTTACATTGTTTTCAGTTCCAAGTGGGGAAAAAGACACTGGAAACATGGAGACTGTTTGGAAATATGATTTAATGGTGGACAGGATCACATGGCTTGAGTTCCTTAAAAGAAAAGAGGTATCATGCTTCAAGCTGTTAGGTGAAGAAAATTGACAGAGATGCCTTAATCCCATCACCCAGGAGTTGAAGTGGGTGTTATGTAGAATAGACTGGCTATGTTATGTTGTTATGTAAAATAGACTGGCTCAGGCCTTTTAATGGCCCATTGACAGAGGTGGTGGCTATTAAGAGTGAGTCTGTTTCCTGCCTAAAAACATGTTTCTCCATTTCTTATACAGGGAAATATAATAGTCTTCCTTTTCAATATTTCCCAGGATATTTCATTTTTCTAGGAGAGGGGTAGGTTTTAATTTCCTACATTATATTGCACTAAATCAGGGATCCTCAGACTATGGCCCCTGGCCACCAAAGCAATTAATCCCGCTCACTGGTGGGATGGGGTCCTTCAGGCACTTAGCTTGGCTGCCTGTTTAGTAGTTCCAGCCCCTTCCTCCCTCCCTGAAGTTCAGGCGCTTCAGTGAGCAGCATGTGAATCTTTGGCTGGGCTCCTCGAGAGACAGAGTTTGCAGGAGGCCGATTTAGCGCCCGGGCTGGCTACAAGACAAACATTCATTCTTGGCTGTATTTGAGATTTCTAGTTGCAATGGACAGCAAAGCTAGGGTTGACCCCGGGCGCTTCTCTCTGCTAACAGGCAGCCAAGTTAAGTGCCTGAAGTACACCATCCCATCACTAATTCATATTAGTGGTCCGCTGGATTTAAAATTATGAATTTAGTGGTCCCTGAGGTCTGAAAGATTGGTGACCCCTGGTCCTTGGAGCCCCTTGGGGTTATTAAGTCACCCGTACTGAAGTAAAAAAAAAATTGCTTTAGAATTGTAAATGGGTCATCAGCTGAAGCTTACTTAGCTCTAAGTACTTACTTGCTATTTAAGCAGGATATCTCTAAGACATGAGCCATCTCCTTTGGGAGGTCACTGCCCTACAACTCTAACCAAATGAAAAAGATCCAGATTAATATGCTTCCCCTAGGACTCTCTCTAATTGATTCCCTATCACTTTCTCAATATCTTTCCTAAAAAAGGAAAGGTTGGATACTGGGTGAAAAATATCAAACATAGCTGGTGCTTATCTATGGAGAATCTCAATCATTCAGGTCATGGTTGTCCCAAAGGTGCTTTTCCAAAGGGCAACTGGATTTTTGGGGGGTATTTTCTTTGAAAATGTTTCACTTGTAATCCAAGCTTCTTCAATCCAGAGCTTGATGCTGGTCCTTCTGTTTTCACATATCCATGAATCTGGCAACTCTGGATTATTTAATCAATCAAATAAAGCAATGCTTTAGTAAAATAAAATGACATCCTGTCTCCAGTCCCTCAAAACTAATTGCTGACAGTCACAGAAGAATTACAAAATCACTATTGCTACAATAGTACAAACTATTGAGTTGTAGTGAGCCAAGTGTGTATCTCATAGGTCTGATAAAGGAGTAGATTCCAATCTGCAGGTTTTTATCAGCATTATCAGCAATTCTGGGGGTTCTGTAGATTATAAGAGTGCTCTTCAAATATACTGTGCATAAAAATTGGACAATGTTTTGAATTTTCAGTAACTCTGCATAAATATAACCTAAAGTGTGATGTTTTTCAAATAAGTCCTAAAACTAGATAGACTTAAATGAATCAAAAATATACTTGTTTTATTTATTGAGGAAAATGATCCAAAACTACATATTTGTGTGTGGCAAATGTGAACCTTTGCTTTCAATAACTGGTGTGCCCCCCACATCCCAGCAGCAATGTAGGTAGCCCTTGCATACTGTTGGGTGGAACCAGAGTGACATTGTGAACTGATCAGAGTTTGCTTCCTTATTGTTTCTTGCCTATTTACAGGAATCCCACCAGACTGATTGCATTGCCTTGGGAACAGCCAGCTAAGGATTTCAGGGATTCTGGGGGAAGTCAGGTCTGCAATTACCTTTTGCTGTGCAATATCTCTAAGCTAGCCAGTCTCTTCATATTTCTCCCTCCAACTCTAGGTGGAGATTCCACTACACTTACTGACAGTAATTGGGACTAAAAACTATTGCTAAGTGATACAGTCATAAAAGGCAATATGACATGACTGAGTCAATTTACAATGGCAGTTACAGCAATCCCAGTTGCCATCATTATGCAAATCCAGGGTGGTTGCAATATCATGTGATCACCGTTTGCAACTTCTTGCCAGCTTTCTCATTGTCTTTGCTTGTGGGAAATCATCAGTGAACCTGAGATATTGCAACATCGTAATTGTAAGCCAGTTGCCAAACACTCAAATTGCCATGGGGACACCATGACAACAGCAACTATGAGAACTGATCATAAGTCCCTCTCATTCAGCGCTATTATAACTTTGCACAGTAATAGATCAAGTGGTCTTTAAATGAGGACTACCTATAACTGCAACTAAATCTTTCCAATAACTTTAGATCAGTCTTGTGCATCAGTTTAGAGGAGTTTTAGCCCATTTCTCCTGACAGAACAATTTCAAGTCAGAAATATCGTGGGGAGAACAGATCACGTTTTAGGTTGTAGACCTTTTCCTCTCACTGACTCAGAAATTATGCCTGTCCAAGGATGTTCTGAATACTGAGGGTGAATATAACCTATGTCTCTGTTCTATAGCCTTTACCATTACTCCCTAACAAGGTGACAAAAAATAGTAGAAATAAGTTTTTAATCACAAGGTCAAAAAAAGTATGTTTGATGTTAAACTTTATTTACCACCTGATTAAAGCATGGAATACAACATTCTTCATAATATTTTATATAAAAACTTTACATAACTTTGTATTACAGTATATAATTATGCTATTCTCCCAAAAATGTATACATCCATCGGGCAAGGAATGCTTTTCATTAACTTAATGATATTAAATGTACTTCATAATAGAAGGTCTCTTAAGAAAAAAAGTAGCTTATAACTAATTTTAAGCATTATATAGATAAAACATACATTTTGCACAAAGTATATTTTATTTAAAGTTGCAAAGAGATATTCTGGACAAAAATATCAAGACATTTAAAGAACTGCACCTCTCACAAATCAAAATTTTCTGTTGCTTCAAGCCAAGAATCACATCACACCATCTGATTGAACTGTAACATATTTATTAATAGGGACAAATTTCACTGGCAATTTATACTGGCTTACGTTAACCTCAGTGGGAGTATAACAGTGGTGAATTATTCTTTAAAATGCAATGCACCAAGCATTTAAGCAATTTTTTATTCAATGTTGTTTGTTTTTAAAAGGCCCTTATGTGCAAATTTGCAGATTTTAAATAAGTGGGTTTTCAACCTCATTCTCAATTTAAAATAGGGGAATGGGAAATTTTTTACTGGGATTGGTATTTTAGAATATAATGTAATACTACCCCTTCCTAAACTCTGAAGTGAGCAATGCTTTATGCTTTGCTCCACCTGATAACCCAGGGAGCAATCACTTTGATGCTTTTGTTGCTACTGCTGGGCTTTTTTCTAGCTCATTTACTGTAAAATATTTCCTCCAAGTATTAGATTACATATAACTCTGTACACTTTTTGCACAGTGTATTCAATGTTTGCAGCGTGACTTCACCAGAACTATTTCAGAATGTAAGAGTACTTATAAGACCAAGCGTTGAATGACCAAGTTCTACATTCTTACCTCTTTTTTTTACTACTATTTCTGCATTCCTGTTCTTTGGCTGAAATGATAAGATTAATACTTTATCTGCTGTTAGCTGTGGCCACAATTAATGGTAATCAAAACTATTATTTTAAATTAGTGTTGCAAACCTGGTAGAATCAGTGCTGCAAATTTGATTCAGAAAGAATTTATTTCGTGTTTATCACAATTGCTGCTACTAAAGATATAAAATCAAAGCAAAGATAATGCTGGCAAAAGAAGGGGAGATTCATATCAAAGAGGGAAGAGGCAACTATAGCTCAACATGCAAGTCTAAGGTTTACTACAATTGGTAAGAGATCAACGACTGCCTGTACACTGGAATTGTGTGTCACACAGACAATTCATCTTGCACTGGATTCATAATATAGAATTCTGTTATGCGGCCAGCTCAAACAAAATTTTATGAGTGTTTAAAGAAAGATACAAGAAACATTGGTTTACTCTGCAGAACCTGTTTTATGATCTGATCTTAAATCAATTACCATAGAAAATTTTAGAGAATATTCCTAACATTATTACGATTGTCCATGGAAATTGGTGTTGCCAAAACTAAGCAGTATTGATGCCCACACTCATTATAAAAATACATTCAAATAATACATGTACCATTATTACCATTCTTCACAATTTTCAGGAATATCACAAAGAAAGGCTATTATGGAACATCTTCAAACACATACAAACACGCACACAGATACTCACGTGCTACCCTTCATGATAATTACATGGTTATTAGATTCCCACCTATGTTTTTAATTAAAGTCTTAGCCATTTGAAAATGTAGCTGTTGGCTGCTAAATAAAGCTTTCCTAAGAAAATGAATAATTTAATACTACTGACTAGGCTTTAAGTTTTATGATCATTCTATTCTGTGTATAAGTAAAGATCACACAAAAGAAGCTTCTTCACAGTGCTTTACATTGCAAAACTTTGGAAGATAACTATTTTAAACCCTATGGATATTGCACTTTTTATTCAGGTTCTAAACATTACTTGCAGTGTTGCCATGCTTCTTTAATGAAGTCAAAGAGGTGCACATCTGAACAGAAAACATTTAAGGGGTGGGGGGGAAGACCACGCTGTATTTGCAGAACATATTGACATCAGAATTATAGAAATGGGGAAAAGCAGTCCAATTAAAGAAGAATTCTGGTCAGTAAAAGGATTAAAATAACAGGATATAAAAATAAATAACTTTTTTTCTGCACACAGTGAAATCCAACTTTTCACTGCAAACATAAATAACTAAATAAGTAAGCTGTTTTATTACAATCCTTTCTAATGAACTGTTTATATGTTTTCCAACATATTTCACAGAAAACAATATTTTTCACTTGCTATGTACAAAAGTCTTTGGTAGAGAAAATAAAACGTCCAAAACTTTTTATGTCTGCGAAGTGCCAAAAAAAAAAAAAAAAAAGCAAAACTTATACCGCTTTATTACTGAAACTCTTTGAGATAGCGCACTAGTGTTTAAAAGAAAATCCTGCCATAGCTCTTCCCTAATTGTAACGATGATAACAGTGTTAGTAGCCAGATTCAATTTACAGCGCTAGAAGTTTCACTTTCTTCATCACACTTGTCACCTTGGGTCGAACCTTTTCAGGACTTTTCCTTAGGGCTGCGTATCACCCACGTATCATGTCTCCCTGCTCCCCACTTCACTAACACCTTACAGTTCATATTTGCCAATCAGAAGAAAAAGTATATTTAATACTTTTGCATTTTAATACATTTGGACAGAAATTACCTCCTTCCTGCCCTCTTGTAGAAACCATTACATTATTACAACTATACAGAATTTGCCTGCCATATCTTACAAAACTATTTTTATTGGGCCAAGAATAGTAAGACTTAGTCTTATAATAATTATAATATTAAAATCCCTCCTTGGACCCAAATTCAGAAGAGCCAATAGCACAGAGCGATGACTTTGCTTCCTACTGGCCCCAGAAAGCAGGTTTCTTTACAAGTACATGTGCACTTATATTAATAAATCAAGTGGTTCCAATAGGAACCAGACTCCCCTGTCTTATACAACTTATAATAATAAAGCATTAACCAAGCCATTAAAACAACCATAACTCACAGATCAGCAGCAAAAATAGAAATATCTGAAAACACATTGAAGATACACAGTTTCTACCCAAATGTTAATCTATACATTACTCCAAAAGGGAAATACGAGTATAAATTTTGATTTATTCAATGTGCACTTCAAAATTAATCAAAGAATTTGAGTTTGTCATTTGCTTAATATTTAATAATCATTAGAGATTAAGAATCAGAAGCATTTTTCAAAGCTTTCAAACTACTTAAACATTCAAGTCATGAGAGATAAAATAATTAAAAGGCAGTGTGAATTGGTTTTCTCCTACAGTTTCTGGGGAGAGTGTTTCCTTCATAATACATTTTGCAGATTGCTTTATTGATAGTAACCCAGTAACAAGGCAATTTTCATATGATGAAAAATTATCAGTCCTAGAGAAAATACAGTGCTGCTCTGAAGATGATTTACCATTTACATTCTGCAATGTATAGCAGAATTAGCAAAAAGGGAGATGGAGATAAGACTGCTTTGGATTTTAACTGGGTGACTACATATATTACTGCCTAGTCACCATCTTGCTACAGATATACACAATAGACAGCACCAAATCATTCGAATCTGTATTGAAAGAAGAGACAGCACCAAGTCATTTTCAACTGTATGCATTCTTGGTGGAGAAACGCTCCAGCCAATTTTCAAATAAATTTTCATCTTCTCAAATATTTATTAATACAATTGCTAGCATCACAGACTTATATAAAGGGTTTTCATTCATCATTTCCAACAGCTTATGAGCAAACAGCTGGAAGGTATTAAGAGGGAACTACTGCAAAATCAATTTGAACAGACAAGCTGAATGGTAAGAATGACTTGACATTTACTGCAATAAGTTGTCAAATGTGAACAGCTATTTCTATAGGACAGCCAGAACTATAGTAGTAATGAAAGAGCCTTCAGAAATACCAGATTGACCAATATAACCCTGCTGTTCAGATTATTGTAGTTTCTTTTTCTTTGGAGACCTATCGTTTTTTCTTTGCTTTGTTTATGCTTTCATTCAGTGAACTGAGCATTATTCAAGCTTTGGTAAACAGCAGTCACAGAACTACCATGCAAGGGATTGAGTCCCTGTTGTTCGCAAGTGTTCTTCAGGAATCCAAACTCTGAACACTACACCAATGCGCAGGAAAAACTTCCTCAGCACAGCTCGGAGTTCTGGGATCAGATCAAACTGCATTATTTCACATAAATAGGGGTAATATGTTGATGCGTGTGCTTTAAACTTGGGAGGAAGAAAGAGGAAAGAAAAAGTAAGAAATTATACAAATCTGTTTCTACAAGAAGTACGGTTCAATTGAAGGTACAATTCTCACGGTCAGGGAATGGCACTGCAATATCCACATTTAAAAAATATGCTTCTGTAAAACCTACTCCACATCTTCCGCTAGTCTTGACCAAAATATTTCACCAGCAATTCTCAAAATTCTATTGACTGCAACCTATTTCCTATTACACCTTCACCTTGCCACTAGAACAGAGATGTCAAACTGGCGGCCCGTGGTCCAAATGCACCACATGCAGGCCACGCCCACCCCAGCTCCGCAAAGGGAAAAATGTCGCAATATATCACGTGACGGCAAGGTGACTCAGCGAGTTTGACACCCGTGCATTAGAATATCACCCTTGCCTTAATTCTTTCTTTATCACTCCATTACTGTCAAAGAGTGTAGCTCACCAGTAAACATAAATTGTCCCAATCAAGTAAGGGCCTGAGTCCTGCCCTATATGCCTTGCTCCTAATACAATCTACACTTGAACGAGGCTACAACAGCCTGTAAAAGTTCCATGTTTTCTTCTGAAACTGAAGTAAACATCTCTTACCTTTTCATCACTGACTTTTAGTGTTTTTGTTAAAAGTAGCAACAAGAGATTGGTCCAAGCCTCTCGATGGCTTTCAGAATTCACAGTGATAAAATAGGCCAAAGCTTCACTGCACACACTAGAGAAAAGAACATGTGAATATTCAGAACCACAGAACAGAAAACAGCAAGCAATTCAGTGAAGTAGGTTTTGCTAGTTCTGCTCTAATCAAAAGAAGTTTTCAGGTGCATATGTGAATAAGGAAAAACAGAAAGTGACAGAACATCCATATTTAAAAATCTGGATTATGAAATTCAGGAGTATTAATATTTTTCAAATTTGCATTTAATAAGATTTCCTTTTTATCAAAAGTAATTTAAATAGCCTCAATTAATTTAATAACAAGTTTTTTCCATTTCTATTATCACTGCAAGCAGGGAAACTTGTGAATGCAATTGGGATCGGATTTGCAAAATTGTTATGGTCATAAGTTGAGGCAGTCATATGCTGGACCCAATTTGATGAAAATTTTTACAATAGCTGTTAAGTGAATCATTATGGTCATTAAGTAAATTCATAGTAGTTAAGTGACAGCTGTAGTTTAAGCATCAGTCCATTCTTCAGAATGGGTGAATTTTGCCCGAAATTGGCAAAAAACATAGCAAATTGTAGTCACATGAATACGGGGTGCAATAACCGGTCATAAAAGTGAGCCAGTTGGTAAGCAACCAAAATGTGGTCATATGACCGCAGGGTGCACGTGTGTGGCACAATAGTTTACAATATGAACATTATGGGCAATAAAGCGCCTGTTTTGGGCCCATCATAATTTTGAATGGTCATTATGTGACCAGTTGCAAGTCAAGGACTGTCTATAAATTATTAGAAAAGCAGTGGAAAGCAGATGTTATCAAGAAATACATAGATATTGAGGATAGTGATTATCTACTTAACAAAACTTGGTCTGTCAATAGAAAAAAGTATATATGTAATAAAAAGGAGTGGACAACATTCTCAGAACATTCTAATTCAGTCATTGTATTTTGTTAGGATAACATTTTTCAGCATTAGGAAAGTTCATGGCAGCTCTAATAAATAATTCAAGTTTTTAAAAAATCATGGGATACCTATATCCTGATTGTTTTCACATAAAAATTTCCCAGTTGCTCTTAATGAAAGATTGAATCTGAATGAGTTTTCTTTTGCACGCTTTGTTTAAGTTCCCCCCTTTAAAATGATTCAACAGAAAAATTGTATGTCGCCTCTGAAATCCTGAAGAAATTGTGTTGGGATTACTTTGAAATCTAGAAACAAAGCTTACTTCAGGAGCCTCTCTTGTATAGCTTCCCAGGAATCTCTGCGGTTTTCATCAACATACATTCGGAAGAGAATTCTTAGACAACAAGCCAAACTGCTAGTCTCTTGTTTTAAAAGATTGGGCTTTGATTTGCCCTTGAACCCTGAAAATTAATGACATACTTTAACACCTTTGAAACTGAAACTTGAAATAATCTGTACATCTGAACATTAAATAACTTCTACTCTCATGTATGCTACATTGTATGATAATATTATACATTCATAATTCCATGCCAGTAGTCACTTTAGATTGCAGTGTAAACCAGTATAATTGTTACAATAATTTTCTAAAAACTTCCACCCTATTTTATGTTTACCTGCCCTCCATAGGACGGTCCTTTGTTCGTAATTTGAGTTGAAAGCTTTTGAAAATGAATGGGACTCTTGCAGACAATCCAGTAACTTGAACAGATGTTGGGAAGACATGAATTTGTACATTCCCTGGTCTTCAGTGTCAATATGTATATCTGTATCTAGTGTGTCCCTCTAAAGATAGGATAGGAAATATTAGTTAAGGACGCAGGTTACAAGGGTTTAACTTTTAAAGAGCATTATATAGTTTCCAGAAAAGTTTCAATAGAGCAGATCCTAGTTTTGAACTGAATTCAAATATATTTGAATAGATTAATATTTTGATCACTGAATCTCACATCTACACAATGAGAGCAGAGAGTGCTCTGTTAATCAAAGAAGCAGATGTCTTACCTGAGCAGCAGCCAAATGTTCAGCATCTTCTTTCTTACTTGTTGCTGGGTAAAATACTATATTGTCAATTGTCTGAATCAATTCCAGCTGGACCACACATTTTATGAGGAGGCTGGCAAAGAGTTTTTGGTCTGAAATAATATATCATATTTAGATTTTACTCTAAAAAAATAATTTTCATACTTCAAAGCCTCAATCCCTTTTAACAAGATTTTCATGTGCACACTACTCATTATTTTTCAAGGGATTAAGGCACACATGCGTTTCTTCTACTACTATGTTGTTGGCAAAAAAATATATATATCTCTAAATAGTTTCCATGCCATTTTCTTTAATATATTTTAAAAATAAACCCATGGCAGAATTACATGACATGCACATGTGAAAAAGCAAAATTGTTTATTACTTATATGGCCTTTTAAACGTAGGCATTAAATTAACCAGGCTGAAACAATCAACCAGCATAATATGATTTTGAGAAACTGTTCTAAAAATTGGTTCAGTCAAGATGATGTAGAGAATATCTTATCTTATTTATATCATTACTGAATGAAACTATCTTTATACTACACCATTCAAATAACTTTGGACAGTTAACACTAAAACATAAAATAATCCAAAGTAAAACTCTGAGCCCTAAAACCAACCAACACAATGTGGATAAAATCATGAGCAACCATGATCTCAGATCAAACATTTACTTTAAAAGGAAAATTTTCAGACCCAATTATTTCTCAAGACAACATATTCCAAGATTTTGAGGTTTGTCACAGAGAAGCCCTATATATTGTACTGACAGGCCTTAAGCAAGTGCTTCCTCAAAGCATTTACAGGGCAGACAGAATCATGGTGAATAAAACAATTTGTGGTAAATTGCCACAATTGTTTCTCTCAGCCTTTGTAATATTATAAAATCAAATATGAGACTCTGGGAGCAACAACAGTATCTTCATCTACCAAAAATTGGATGTAGCTGCTGCTGCAAACATACTTGCACTTCTTAATTTGTGCTGAAGGTTTACCTTCCAAAGGGCTGGAATAAAAATGTATGCATCAATGTGCGAGATGCAAACTTACTTGAATAAGGGCCTCCTTTCCAGCTGTCATCTGTGGGATTTGAAAACTGGCTCTGCCCTCTTTCTGAAGCATTTTTACTACTTAAAGACTGGCGATCCAGGTCTACCTCCTAATAGAAAATACATCTGTGTTAACCTCTTTTACATCTTAGTCACAAATCTCAGTTTCAAGACAGTTTAAATTTTTCAGACATTTCACAATAAAAGTATAATATAGCTGTTCCTTGGCATTATTTTTCCTTTGTTTATGTGATTAATACCTTGGAATACAGATTCTAAGAAACAGGAAAATGAATAGTCTTGTAATTTTGATTTCCATGTGAAATGTCAATAAATGTGAAGCTGTCACATGTATCTTTAGTAGGTAAAAAACTAAAGCACATACCAGGTGTTTTTCAGATGAATCATCTTCCATCCCTGCTGGCCTCCATGTCAGCAAACTTCAAAAAAGAAATGCTTAAATCAGATAATAGTGCTGAAATGTAAAACACTGGCATAATTTATATTAAGAAATATTGTACACTCACACATGAGGAATGGTAGTTTTGAAGATGTCTAGCATACAATTGCAGGTTTGGTCCCAAACTTCAGGACTGAATTTTTCCCCATTTAATATTACCAGACTTTCTAAGCAGTTCGTACCTGATCGAGCCAACTGTTCATTGTCTACAGAAAAAATAAATCACAAATGAAAGCAAGAACATTTATCACAAGAACATCAGAGACTTGTACAGTTTGAGTTGACAACTAGTTGTGCTATAAGATGGTTCCAAATGTGATAAGTCTATTGCACAACTGAAAATAAGTTGATAGTTAGTGAGAGTTTGATACTTCTATCTTTCTCCTCCAAAATAGTTCCCAACCATTTGATTACCCAACATTCTTCATATAGTTATACTAATATAGAATTATGGTGCTTACTAATCATTCAGTTCCCTGAAAACATAATCCAAAGTCCATTTTAAAACAAAACAAAAAGCTGTACTTACTTTCCATTGAAATCAATGGAACAAACTACTCGCAGATTTCAATGGTTTCAAAGTCTGGGTATTTTTTTTATGGAACCCAAATAAGAACCATGCTTGGTTGCTTAAATTTATTCCACACATATCCCTGTACCCCAAAACTATAAATATAAAAGAAGAAAACCATGGCTAATATTAAGAAGCAAGAGGATAAACTGTTTCAAGGAACAGAAGGAAGAAAAGAAAAAGTATACTATTCCAAATCTGATAATAGCTTTATATTATCCTTTGGTCCTTGCACCAAAATATATTTTCACTCCAGCAATGTTGTGATATAGAAAATCTAAACCAAAAGCTGCAAGTATTTTTTGGTGTGAGACTATGACTACCTTTGTCTCATATTGCACATCTGAGAAGGGGCAAAAAAAATGCTCACAATGATTTTTCTTTAAAGGGGAAAATGGAATGTAATAGAACTGCAAAAGCCATTCTTTGTATCTTTTCATGGCAACAAACAGGTTTGTTCTTTTTAAAATCTGCAAAACCTTTTATTTAAACATGGCTTTAAAGTATATATAAAGTGGTTATGAGTTCATTTTTCAAATAAGAATTTACTTCTGCAGCTTGATTGCAAACAAAAAATGTTGACATTTGTAAAAAATATTTAAAATAACATGTGCAATATTTAACAAGTAACATAGCATTTAAGACCATTTCCTAGATTACTGAAAGAACATGCTATGCAATAAATAATTTGTTAAAGAAGCAATAAGGAAGAGATATTGTTATCAATACAATACCACATTAGCAAAACAGAAAACCTATGCTATTCTTTTTCACTGTAATTTGTCTTTTTTTTAAAAAAAAGTTTTTTTCAGATTCATCCTTTTTTAGAAATGCAAGGAAGTATGGAGGAAAAAGAGGAAGATTAATTTCACACACAGCTGCTCCCAAAATATTCATTCAGAATAAAGTGACACATATGTAAATAAGCTACCTTGTTTTACACACCAGTGTAACTGTGTAAATATGTCAGCAAGAAGAATTTCATTCAGAGCTTCATAGAACTGGGTAAATACATCACAGATTGCATAAAGTGCATGATTACAGGTAGTAGTCATCCATTCAGATTTCTATGGAGACAAGAATCAAAGGTTGTATGTTTCTGATTGCTAACAGGGAAGGGTTCTGATTATATAATAATCACTTTAATAAAAATATTTAGTTTACCTGTGTTTACAAATTCACCTCTCCTTATATCAATAGTACAAATGCTAGGATTTATTCTTTTTAAAAAAATTAGCCTAGGAATCACCATATATTGCCATGTAAATGATAACTGGAGGGCTATCTGAAGAACAGAGTGCCTGATATTTCCTTTCCACTTGACAAAGATTCAAGAACTAAAGAATGAAAACCATCACTATATACTTTCACATACCAGGTCAAACTAAGTGTTGTGGATTTATTCACTCTGAAGAAAGAGCACAAAAGAAAGCACTATGTTTATTACAATTATCATTAGATGGCATGGCTCCTTTATAAGAAAGAGGGATCCTGAAAAATGGAAAAGGAAAATATTTTATAGAGGTTGGAAACCTTAGGAATTTGATTGGTGTTCTGACCTAGGCTTCTTGAGATAGTAAAAATCACACCCTTAGTCCCAAAAATCCTCTTTTTATTTCAACGGCTGTGAATTATGTTCATTCACAGCCCGTAATGAGTCACAAAGAGTTTGTGAATAGTCCGACAGAAATCTTCCACAGTCTTTCTGGATAAGACTGATAAGCACCCACCTTTATCTCCCTTGAAACGCTGCCAAAGACCTAATTGCCAATTAGTTTTGCAAGGCCAAACGAAGCACAGAGTCAAAACAGAGCTTCAGAGTTTAAACTGACCAGAATAAAGTTGCTTCCTGCAAAGACTCACGTCCCTTTGCTCCTCCTTTATGTCTTATGGGAAGGGCCAATCATCTTCAAGCCTTACTCCTGAGTTGCCCCTTTTGTCTTAACTGCTCTTGCCTTCTGGAAGTCTGCACATGCGCACACTGAGAATAGGCTCCCCCTGTACCTCTGCCTCGCTGATGTCAGACACTGGAGGCTCCGGAAGCAGCACATAACTCCCAGATGGGCCTGGCCCCCTCTCTGCCTCCAACGCAGAGGCTCGTCCGAGCCTTCCCCAGACTCCAGGCCTGGCCCATGTTCCTCCCCAACCTCCTCACTGTCTGACTCTGCTGCCAGCTCTGCAGGCCACCACCGGACCACAACAATTAGCTGAAGCTAGGGGAAGCTAGGCCAGCCCTTATAAGTGTCTTTGGAGTCAGTTCTATTATCAGGCAAAATGACCCTTCTTTGCTTTAAAGGGGAATACAGTGGGGCTTTGTCTGGAGCAGGGAGGCTCAATTTTGGTATGATGGGATTAGGCAAAGAGATGAACTGGATTTGACCTGGGTCCTATCTAAAAGATAGAGGGGTGGGTTGGGGGAATTAGTCTTAATTTTGTTTGCTAGATGTATTCTCTCCACTACAAAAGCCTTATAACTTAGCTTATTCCAACCAGTTGCCTTGTTCCAACTCTTGTAATTTTGAATATTAGAACTGTGGTAACTAGGGATTGTGGCAATTAAACTTTAACATACAGGGAAAATACTAGATTAAATGTTTTAATTTTAAAGCCTTTCTTTTCTCAAACAAACCATCAGAAACATATTATTATATTTGGCTGTTATTCTTGTTTTATGTAACTTTTTAAAGCATTCTAAACTAATTAGATAATACAGCGTTGCTTTCAATACCTCTGTTTGCAGCTCTGGAAGCTTCATGTTGTCAAATATTCTAAATACAATTCGAAATAGATCTTGCCACCAGTGCTTTTCAAATGTTTGGCCATAGCTCTTCATGATTTCAAACATAACTGTTAGACCCCTACAATGTGAGAAAAACAGCTATCAGAAATTTATCTTTTGGGAAAAGAATGAAGAGAAAATATGTTTTACTAACAATTATAATCACAACATTTCATTACCTTGTCCGCACATCTAGCTTGCACCGATTGATGATACAAGAAAGTTCGAACAAAATAGGGAACCATCCTCTAACCCAAACCCTGTCTCCAGTTGCTACATTCATGTCATCACTTGTATATTCTCTCAAAACCTGTGAACAGATGAGAGCTGGTAAATCAGTATAAATACAGTACCATTTAATCAGATCTTGCTGCACAATTGATAAAAAAGGTAAACAAAATTAGAAAATGTTTTTAAAAGACTTTAAATGCAGGTAAATCTACATTTTACAACAAATTCATGTTTCCTGGTAAAACAAAATTTAAATTGAAACATGTTTTACAATGTATTTATTTATAAATATATTTGTAATTAGTTAGGAGACATAAGCCTTCTTAAATTATATTTGAAAATATATTATTCATTCACTAAAAGTATAGTTTTGTAAATCATGATATTGGTATTCTCCAGCCAGAACTGTAAACAAGTTTAAAGTCAATAATGGCAAGTTTCAGTTTTAAAAGAAAAAACCAGTAAGCACTGGTCCTAAAAATTGCTGGAGTTTTAAAAAGGAAAGAAATAATGGAAAAAATTCTAAAAATTCTCTTGAAATATTAATTTGGATTTTAAAAATCCAGAGAAATAAAAATTAAAAGAAATACCTGTGGTCTTTCAGAAACATATTTTGCACAGTAACGAATAAGTCTAATTGCTTCCATACTGGTATCAGGAAAGGAGGCGTTGCAGGCAAACTCTGATAAACATTTGACAGCATCCTGGAATGAATCTATGGCTGCAGGAAAATGCTGTTGAAAGATAGTAGCTGTAGAAGAAAATGAAAGGAAAAACAAGCCATTAAAAAAAAATACATTACTATGGGATATCTTGGGTAGTTGATGCTCAAGGAAACCATATGAATTAGAAAGAAACATTTATCTTTGATATAATAATAAAAAGTCAAAGAATCTGTTTTGAAAACTGACCAGCTATATCAAGCCTGCTTATCTTACAAGTTGTAATTAATTATATTTACATGGCCCAGCAAGTAGACAGTGTCAACCAAGTAACAAATTAGTTTCATGCAAATGTAATCATTCTTTTGTCAGTGAATTTTCTCGTACAGTAATCTGAACAGTCTGAAGAGAACTGACACCAAGCCCATACTCATGAGAAATGAGAAATACATGTGTAGCATACCCAAGAAAACAGTATATTTCAAATTTCATTACCATATTTTACACACTCTAAGACACACTTCCTCCCCCCAAAAATGTGGGTGGAAATGTCTGTGCATCTTATAGAGCGGATATTGCAGCGAGGGGGGAGCGGGGTTGGTGTGGCAGTGGCATTTGCCGCCTGTCACCACAGCCATCGTCGCCAGAGAAAACACTGGAGCCTTCACTGCCAAGTAGCTGATTGGCGGTTGGATCAGCCTCCCGGAATACTTTTCACCGCCGCTGAATGGCAACAGCAGCATGGCAATCAGTGGCGGCGATCCCTGTCGCTTAGAACAGGTGATCGGCAGTATTCTGGGAGGCCGATACAACTGTCAATCAGCTGTTCAGTAGCGAAGACTGCAGTGTTCCTCAGCGGTAGCAACAGCTCAGCTCAGTTGACCAGTAGTGGGTGCAACGGAACCCTAACGAGCCACGTGTTGGGGCTGCAATAACATGCTGAAGTTGATCAGGCTGTTTGCTGCAGGGACGCTAATTAGATAAATACCAGATGGATGCTGGGAGGCAGCGACAGATATTTTTTTTCTTGGTTTCCTTCTCTAAAGCTAATGTGTGTCTTATGGTCCGGTGCATTTTACAGTGAGAAAAATATGGTATTTCTACTATATAAATATGGTCATTATTGATTTGAGGATATTAGTTTTCATAACATTTACTTACTAACTATATGTGCTGCTGTCTGGAATGCCAACTCCACAATATTCCCATCATGATCAGATGCTGCTTGATGAAACACTGCAAACATATTTTTCCACCCTGAGCGAATATTAGCAGCTTGAGAGTTCACCATCTGAGTAATACAGCGTATTACCATGTCCCGAATAGTTGGGGATCTAAAGAGAGAATACTATTTTATTAGAGAACTTTTTCTGCACAGCATTAATATATACTAAATAAGCAAAAGAAAACGTTTACATTACAAGATGCATAACAGACCTGTTCTTCTTCATGATATGCTCAAAAGGCCTCAAAAAGTCTTTCTGAAATCGAAAATTGGCTAACTCCCCCTTTTCAAGAAACTTCATGGACAGTTGCCTCAAAGAATCAACTGCAAAAATTGCCACATCTTCATTAGGATTGCAGCCAACCTATAAATGAGAAAAACAGGAATTCCCTTAAAGAAGAATAATCCTAGATAGATCAGACTACTGAAATTCAATGCTTCCATCTGTTGTAACTGTCTTTGACTTTAGGCAACAGACATAATCAGAATAAATCCAGATTTGAAGCTCTTCAAAAAGGATCATCGTAATCCTAAACTTGTATTTTTGCAGGAAATTCTATTGATATAATTCTAATCAAGATACAACTATATAAATGCTAAGTACTCAAGCCTAAGTAATCTTAAAATATTAGTAGCTTAAGGCAAATTACACATAGAATTAAAAAAATAAACATTGTAATACAGAACAGTACTACAGTTAATGTAATTACAGTACAGTAATTTTAATTATAGAAGCATTTTATGCCATGTATACTTTTACATGCTATAAAAGTGAATTTTACATATAATTAAAAGCTTTTAGCACATTAAATTCTTTCTTGCCTTATTTCTAAGGCAAACATCTTCATAATAATTATTCATCACACTATGAAATCTGAAATTATGGATTACATTACTGGAGTTATTGCAGTATTACATTTTATTTAAATGCAATTATATTGAGCTTCCCATCTTAAAATCACAAGAAAATTTAGAATAAAATTACAGGCGACAGACATTAGGTATTTATACAAGTAATGTGTAATTTTGCCAATCTGCTACGTAAACTCTCCAGGCTGAAAGACTCGAATCCCTGTAAAAATTGACATTTTCTGTCATGATCCATGTATGAGCTGCGCAGGGTACACTATGATGATTTTATGTAAGCCGCCCTGAGTCCCCTCAGGGAAAAGGGCGGCCTATAAGTATTAATAAATAAATAAAAAAATAAAATTCCATGTCAACATTTTATAATGCAAATCAGTATTCCATCAGGTACAGGAACTTGCTACAAAAACTTATAAGTCTTAAATTAAAACAAGTACATACAAATTGATTTTCATATCTAAATTGTATCAAATAAGTTTTGCAGTGTTTAAAATTTAACATACCTTGTTAAAGTGATCTCCAATTACATGCCATATTCTGGACCACTGCAGTCTAATTCTATTCATGTTATAATAGGAGATTTCAACTATTTTCTGTAAGCTAAACATCCGGGGATGGTGAGGGGAAGCCAACTCATCCATGGAAACCGCACACAGCCATCGAACAAAATCAACTATAAGATTAAGAAATAAGACATGTAAAATATGATAAGGTCTGATAAAGTTATTGTTCATTTCATCAGAAATTTTTACAACATACCTATAGCATTTCCATCTAGTCTAGTAGAACCAGTGAATATCCTATGAAAAGCAGAGAAGCAGTATTAATCCTCAATATACAGAATATTAAATACATGGTACAATACTGAATTTGATACTATACTGAAGAAACAGAATTTCTATATAGTACAGATAGTCCTTGACCTATGACCACAACTGAGCCCAAAATTTCTGTTGCTAAATAATATAATTGTTAAGTAAGTTTTGCCCAATTTTTTGACCTTTCTTGCCACAGTTGTTAAGTGAAGCACTGCAGTTGTTAAGTTAGTAACATATTAAACGAAACTGTTTTGCTCATTGACTTTGCTTGTCAGAAAGTCGTAAAAGGTGATCACATGACCCTGGGACGCTGCAATCGTTATAAATATGATTTAGTATCTGAATTTTGATCACATGATTATGGGGATGTTGCAACTGTTGTTTAGTGTGAAAAACTAAAACAACTAAACAACAATTAACATTTTCTCCAATGTTAAATCTCATATTTTGACTGAAATATAACCAAATTGTGATACTATTTATTTATTTAAAAAGTATTTAAATAGTATGTGAATCCCAAAATCAATGTTACATCATACTGAAATAATTTATCATACTTCATTCAGTAACAATACTATACCTGTCCACTGCTACCACCACACTTTGAGAACTGGTTTCTCCCACAGATTCCTGAATGCAGGCTATTTGTCTTCTATCAACACTTCCACCAACAAAGTTACCTAAAAAGACCAAAATTAAGATGTTATATATAAAAGATAAGTCACTATTAGGATCCATTATAAGGCTATTTCACTCTGATTCAATATATTTTCAACATTTGGAAAAATAGCAGGAAATGTTGAAAAAATTACAAAACTGGCTGACTGAGGTGACCATTTTAATATATTACATTTTATATTGCATGTAAAAATTACATGTGATTCAGCTGCTAAGGGGACTTTAGTTCTAGCGGTTCATAGAATGACAACATGACTAACGTTAAGATGAAAAATGATTTATAATGTGTGTTCAATTTCTTATGTTTATTATCATAAATTGCATTAAAAACATTTGTGCAATTAGGTTGAAATAGCTAGATCCATTAGAAATAAAAAAACTGAGCATTTACTGCATTGACAAAATGCTCTCACAGAATAGTATAACTATAGGTCTAAGAAGGGAGTCAAACTCTCACCCAGTCCAAGTCCCATGAAATCTTCTCCTCCAGATGTGAAACCTTTGAGACTCCCTTCCCTCTCACGACCAGACCCAGAGAGATAGCGTGTTTTAACTCCAGTTCCTATCAGCTGTGCTAACTCCAGCTGGCTGATGCATTTTAGAATCTAATGAAAGCAAATTCAGTATTATTAAATCTAATAACAACAAACTTTCTAAGTGAAGAACTTCCAAAATGTAAGGTAAATTCCTATTTTAAATGTATTATATAGTTTCAAATTTTGGCTTGATCTTTCCTATTTTTTGGTGTTATAACTTATGGCACCCACTTTATCTCTTAAACCTTTTCCTCTAGTCTCCAAAAATAGGTAGAAATCTATTTGCCCATCTATTTTATGGACTTAATGATATTGCTAGCTAGCTGTATTTGCTGGCTATCGCTGTGAGGAGACTGTGGGCAACTTACACCATTAAAAGCAATAAATCCATAAAAATATGTATATATTTAAGCACAATAAAAATACAGGTTATAACTGATAAATGGGGAAGGGAGGGCACAGAATGTATGGGGGGAAGGTGGGATCTATCAACCATTTCCAACGTGATATTTCCCCATTGCACCCCAAGCCAGCTGGCAGAAGCAGATCTTCAGGCCCTTACAAACAGTTGGGAGGATGGTAGCAAATCTCACCTTAGGCCACATGTTTCAAAGGGCAGGAGCCCTGGCAGAGAAGGCACTTCTGTACCCCACCAGCTGGAATTCCACAATATGCCTGCTCTGCCCACTCCTCTGTTCTAAGTTGGTAAATAGCATCTTACAGGTAATCCTTATGACTTATGGCCATAAATGAGCTTGGAATTGCAATCATAAGGCAATCAATTATTAAATCATGCAATAATGCAACTGGACCTGATTTTTTGCAGCTTTTGTTAAACAAATGTGGTGGTCATTAAGCAAATCATTTTCCTCAGTGGGAATTTTTTGCCAGGAACTGGACATAAATATGTGAAACCAGCAAAAAACAAAAACAAAAACAAAACAAAAACAAAAACAAAAAAAAACAAAACCCTATTGCAAATGGTGATGATTTACCTCATGCCAAGAATTTCCCAGATAATTGCCATCAGTGTGTGCCACTGTAATAAGTGTTTTAATTGTATCTATGTTCTTCTGCTTCATTTCTGTGATGCTGGAGCTGGCAGTCAACAAGGAAAAGCGAGCAAGTGCCTGAACATAAGCATCTCGCTCAAGCTAAAATATAAAAAACCAAAGTTGAAACAAGCCATTGTAATAAAAATTTTCCTCAAAAGAAATCATATGGGCTTATATAACAAAGTTATCTAAGGCTAGCTAAGCATGGTAGCCTGATATGCAGATGTGAATGGGAGTATATGAAACATAGAAGTATTTGAATTAATGGAATTAAAGAGAAAACTGCCATAAATCATATCCAGTCGGATACGGTAAGTAATAGTCAGGTAATTTTTCTACAAGGCTCCACAGAGGAGTTTTTCTATCCTCTGAGAAGCCAAAGATTTAACTTGGGGTTTGGCATATCAGGCACATCCTCTAACTGCTAGATTTTTACATAGCTTTAGACCAAGGCTAAGAAATATTCTAAGTAATTTCAGAATGTTTAACATAGGAT